GGGTGCTATGGTGATTGAGCTCTCTCCCCTATTCTTCCTTGGTGCCATTGTTGATAAATTAGAGCTTGAAGAGGCAAAAATTCGAATGGGGTAGGGTTTTTTTGGGATTTGGTGGAAGTTTGGGAAAAAATGGATTTTTGGGTATAGATATGGAGAGGGAAGGAAGGGGAGTATTTTGGTGGAAGAATGGGTTGATTTGGTGGAGAATTGAGAGAGATATGGTAGAGAGAAGGGTTGAAAATGGAGTTTGGGGGAGAGGTTGTTCGAAATTTTTGAGAGTTTTGGGGAAGATGAAGTGTTTTTGGGGTGTATTTGGGGTTATATCCGCAGGGGTACCCGATCGAGTATCCCTGTATACCCGATCGGGTACCGGAGACAGGGAATAATATTTGGGTGTTTTCTGAGCATACTCGACCGAGTATCAACCTATACTCGATCGAGTATTGGAGGCAGGGATGAAATAAAGTTCTTTTTCCCGTTATACTCGACCGAGTATGAACATGTACTCGATCGAGTACTGGAGGCAGGCTTTTTTGTTCTTCTTATTTCAGCTCATACTCGACCGGGTAAAGAAATATACCCGATCGAGTATGCCCCCAGACACTTCAAAACCTGTATTTTCTTCTTCTTCAAAACAAACATGTGATTAGTTCCCTCTCTCTCTTTTCTCTCACACAAAAAGGAAATAAAATCTAACTAATTGACTTGGGTTGCCTCCCAAGAAGCGCCTTATTTTACGTCGTGGCACGACGTTTTATTTATATATATATATATATTTTTTTTTTTTTTTATGTGGGATCGTGAGCATCCCTTCCCTCATTTCTTTTCTTAAGCCTTTTCCAGTAAGGCCGACGTTTCTTCTTTGTTCCCGACTCAGTTAAAGCATTTGGCGTTGGTGGTTCAAAAACATTTAAAGAACAAAGAGATTGATCTTTAATTTGTTTTTTCGTAGAGTCAAAGATATTAAACTCTACTTTTTGGTCATTGAACTCTAAAGTTAATGAACCACTAGACACGTCGATTTTTGTTTTTGCGGTTTTTAAGAAGGGTCTTCCCAAAAGGATGGGCGCTGTTTGGTCACCATTCCCCATTTCGAGGACGTAGAAGTCGACGGGAAAAACCATATTCTCTACTTCTACCAGCACATCTTCTAATACACCCTTCGGGTCGGTATTAGAACGATCTGCTAGTTGAATCACTACACCGGTTTGATGTAGTGGGCCAAGTTGTAGGGTTTTATAAACGGAATAAGAAATGACGTTTATAGATGCCCCTAAATCTAGTAAGGCCTTAGGAAATGTGGTGTTTCCTATCGTGCAAGGAATAGTGAACATGCCCGGGTCGCCACATTTTTTTGGAAATTTTTCTTGAAAGATGGTCGAGACCTGTTCACTAACTTCAACCTTTTGTTTCCCCTTTAATTTATCTTTTCTTTTCATTATACATAGTTCTTTTAAGAACTTTGCATAACGGGGAACACTTTTGATTCGTTTAAAGAGTGGGATATTTATCTCACAATTCGCGAAGGTCTCATAGATGTCCCGATCACTCTCTAGCTTCCTTGTGTCTTTCAATGCCTCAGGGAATGGAGGGATTGGTTCATATGATGATAGCGGAGGAAATTTTGTCTTCGTTGGCTCCTCCTCCTTGTGGTCAACCTCCTCTTTTTCAATTTCCTTTGCTTGTAATGCTAGGCTACTCCTTATCATGATGGCATTGACTTGTTGCCTTGGGTTCTGCTCAGTTTGGGAGGGAAGCCTACCCGAATCTCTTGCTTCAAGTCGATTTACAGCATTCGAAATTTGGCTAACTTGAGTTTCCAAATTTTGAATGCTTGACTTTGTTTCTTGTTGAAATTGCACCACGTTTTGTTGTAAGGTGCCCATGGTAGTAGCAAGAGTTCGAATCATGTCTTCCGTAGACATACTCGATTGAGAAGGTGGGTTAGCTTGTTGAGGGTTTCCATACCTTAAGTTTGGATGATCCCTCAATCCGGGATTGTAAGAATTTGAGAACGGGTCATACCTCCTTTGTTGGTGGCCTTGGAAACCCAAGGCGTTGACTTGCTCTGTGGTGTCTTCCTGAAGAGTTGGGCATGAGTCCGTGGGGTGCCCTTGTTGTGTACAGATACCGCAGACCTTGACTTCTTGGGTCTTGGATTTTAAAAGGAAATCCTTAACCAAAGAAGTCAAGCCGGTCATTTGACTTGTCAAGCCGTTCACTTGACTTTCCAACGCGTTGTTGGATTCTGCCGCCATAACTCTCCGAGTTGAGGACCGTCCATTATAGTGTCTGGAGTTCTCGGCCAACTCCGAGATGAGATCTCTCGCTTGTGAAGGGGTTTTGTTGACAATGCCCCCTCCACACGCCGCATTCACCATGCGGCGATCTTGATCCACAAGACCATCGTAGAAGTAGAGGATGAGGTCTTGTTCGGTGTATCCGTGATAGGGGCAACTTGCACATAGCTTCTTGAATCTCTCCCAATATTCATATAGGGATTCATCATCTTTTTGTTCGATGTTGCTTATTTGCTTCTTGAGTGATGATGAAATAGAAGCGGGGTAGTACCTGTCAAGAAAGGCCTTCTTCATTTGTGGCCATGTAGTGATACTTCCTGAAGGAAGATAGAATAGCCAGTCCTTCGCGGTGTCCTTCAAGGAAAATGGGAAGGCTCTCAGTTTGATCTGCTCCTCGGAGACACCATTGGGGCACATGCTTGTGCACACAATGTGGAACTCCGACAAGTGTTTGTTCGGATCCTCCCCTCGTAAGCCATGGAAGGATGGGAGTAGATGAATGAGCCCAGATTTTAGCTCAAATGTGACCCCCGTATCGAGAGTTGGAAAAGTGATACATAGAGGTTGTTGATCTAGATTCGGAGCCGTGAGCTCTCTCAATGTTCTCGTCTCATGAGCCATAGTGATTGGCTCTTCGGTCTCGCTAGATTGAGAACTAGCACTTGATGATTCCTCCGAAGAAGTATTCGGAAATAAATTCCTAAACTTTTCGAAGGCTTGTTCCGTTTGGGGGTTTGTTTGGTAGATGATTTCGTTTATAGATCGGGTTCTTACCATATACTCAAACAAAGCTCAGAAGAAATAGAAATCTTTATACTTCAACTATTTTTTTTCTTTTTCTTTAAAATAAAATAAAAAGAAAAATTAATTGCCTATCCCCGGCAATGGCGCCAAATTTGACGTGCACTTTGTCGTGAGTGCACTCAAAATAAATTCAATACTAACACTTATACGTAGTATAGCGTAGTAGAGTTCGTATCCACAGGGAAAGGAATAACTTTCTTTTTATGTAAATAATAAATAAAGGGGGGTTTTGATTGTTGAGTGATTTAATTAAATTAAAAACGAAGATGAACGAGTTATATGGGATTTAATTCAAAGATAAAAGTGACTTGGCATTGCTACTTTCCACTTGTTGATATATTTTAGTCGATCCTTGTTATATCTATAACTTATCTCCTCTCGAATACTCAATCGAGGAGTATATCCAATTCATCGAGGATAGTTATTAACAACAACCGTTCATTAATAACCCTTACTATTAGTCAAGTATAGAACAACGCCATATACCGACTTGATAGTAGCATTTAATCTTTTAACTCCTTGATGAAATCAATTGAGATTGATAACCTCAACACAACGGTTTCGGTTTAACCAACAAAATTAATCCCTCTTAAGTTCATTAACCACGACCGTGCATTAATAAACCGAAGTTACTTACTTGTGAAACTATCAACGATTAACCATCGGTTCGTTGATCGTTTCTAGTAATAATTAATATATGAAACAAAACTAATTGATCCTTTAAGTAATGTTCAAAATATTAATATGAAATATGAATAGGAATTAATTAATACTCAAGGAAGAATATTAAAGGGAATGAATCCAACTATAGTTAAATATCAAGATGTTAACTAATTGTCATCTTAGTAACACTCCCCGATATTAACATAGAGGAAGGAATAGCTATTACTAAAACCAATGTCAAGATGTTAACTAATTGTCATCTTAGCAACACTCCCCAACATTGATATAGAAATGGTATTTAAGAGAAGCATTAATATTCAAGGAAAAGAAGTTAAGAAAATAACTCACAACTTTACTAATCAACAAGCTTCAAGAGCAATACCAAGAAATGGAAGTTTAGCTCCTCATTTGGAGACTAAACATGCTAAAAGAAATATAGAGAAATGCTATTCTAAACTGAGCTTAAGAGTATATAGGAATTGGTTTTTTTAAAAGTGAAGGAAAGGAGGTGTATTTATAGGCTTTTTGAGGTGCAGGATCGAGTACTCGATCGAGTATGTATACATACTCGATCGAGTATGTATAGAAATCAGAATTTGGTCAATACTCGATCAATACTCGAGTAGATTTTATGTGCATACCCGATCGAGTATATAAGCATACCCGATCGGGTATAGACACTCGAACGTGGGAAGATCTTCTCCTGCATGTTCCTTTGTTTTCGGATCCGATCCGATTTGAAATGTCAACCAGATACCCGATCGAGTATATGTATATACTCGACCGAGTATAGACCAAAATCAGGATTTTTCTTTCTTTTGTCTTGTACTCTTGCACCTTCCTTCACCATTGATCATTTGATTGGTCTTGGACCTGTTTAAGCTCAAAATAAACCTAATCTAAACAAATTACAAGATTTTAACAAACTAAACTATTACACCGAAAGTGTGTAATTTCCGAGATATTAAACAATCAAAACTAACTAAAAACGTAAATAAACATACGGAAATTACAAACGTATCACCAACATAACTCTATTTTCTTAATATTTTTTTTTGTGGTTCATTTTGACATTTTGATAGTACTACGTACGTTTAAGGCCCTTTCTCGACATCGGCCCGACCCATAAACATCATGACCGGTCTCTGACCCCTCCTACAACTTGGGCTGGCCCTCAATTGCAATCCTAGATCCGAGAGTAAATTAGAGCTCCAGAAGTACTTCTGGAATTTCACCCAAACACTCCAGCTTCTGCTTCTGCTCCCTGAAGGAGCAGAATCAGTTTTCTGCTCCCTGAAGGAGCAGAATCAGTTTTGAGAATCAGATCCAAACACCCCTCTACCGTCGTCTCAAATTTCTAGTAGTCTCAGTGATTCAACCTTTTCTTAAAATAGAACAATTAAAAAAAAATCCTAAGCCTGGATTGTCAAGAGTTTTCGAAAAGGGGGTTTGTCGATTCAACCTTTTCTTATAATTCATTGCAGGTTTATTCAGAGCCGATACACTAGGTTGCGGGGGAGAAAATCAATGGGGAAGGAGGTTTACAGAAACCTTGTGAAAGCAGTGAAGAAACACATCGGAAAGGAAGAGCACAAAGCCCATTTCACCGATTTTATAAAAGAGGAGTTCAGGAAGAGTATCAATACCGAAGCTGCTGCTGCTAAGAAGCGTATTTCCAATAATCATCAAGAGGATAGGTTAAAGCTTGCCAAAGATTACACCTTTCTCCTCAATAGCGTTCACCATCAAAAGGTCATTTCTCGTATCTTTACACAGTAGCCAATAACTTTGCAATTACTTGGCCACTTCATGCCTTCATTCTTTTTGTTAGATACTCTTTGATGCTAATTTTTCAATATAATCTGCCATAAAAGGTGATAAGTTACCTGAATAAGCTTAGTTAATGCTTTACAGCTTTTGTATATTATCTAAAACAGAAAGGCTGTACAAAGGTCATAACTTCATATGCTACAATTCATTAGAACTGAATGGAGAAATGAGCTCAACTGTACCTGTCATTGACTTGGGGTTTTGAAGTTAGAAGGCTCTCGTTGGCCCTGAAAGCTAAATGCTTTTTTGGAATTTCAAAAGTGGGCATGTGAATCTCGGGTATGGTAATGGCTTTGTGTAGGAAAAGTTTGATCTAGTTTCTTGGAAATAAGGAGAAGTGAAGTTTTCTTTTCGTTGAGTTACTTCACTTACTTGCCTAGTAGGAATCCAATCAAATGAACGGAAATAACAAAAAACCTCTAGTCAGCAGTTCAAAGAAGCTCGTTTGAGTTAAATGTAGTTCATTATTTTGGATGTTTGGAGTTTTGGCTATCTGCCCTTCAATATTGGGTGCTTGCTCATGTCTATACAGTTTGTTGTGTATTTTTATCTGGTTCCTAGTTCTGTAATCGTGGATAGATCTCTGAGAGATTAACCAAAGAAATATTAATTGGAACACTACTATTTAGGAGCCTATGGCGTTGCCTTGTTTGGCTTATTTTAGTAGGATGAGTATTCGTATTTTATCAAGTGCTTATGATTTACTTGTTTAGTTGTTTAGATTGAATGGATTTTACCAAATGCTTTCCCTTACAATTAATTCACTAGAGTCAGCCATTTTCTACAAACGACCTTTACTAATAAGGCTGTAAGCATATAATCTATTTTTAGACTACCAATGTAAAAACACTAGCAATTGGTTTCATTTACTATATCTTTCTGCATTTACTCTTTGTTTACATTGAGAAAATGAGTAGTGGATTGATTCATGGAGAGAGTAATTGGGATAAGGTTGTGCTTAATCACGGCCTATGGAGAGCAGTAGGCTGGGTTTCACTGTCCACCATTGAACATGGAATATACCATGCACTTTTCATAATCGTAGTGTCACACTGTCGCCAGATCACTAAGCAGCACAATCTTCAAAAGGCTTTGATCCAAAATTTTGACCACTTTTTTTTTTTATGTCTATAGCCTACTTAAAGCATAAAGCCGTAAAAGCAGTAAGACATTATTATAACGTTTTGTATGGAGAAGTAATATTAAAATTGATGGTAAAGTTTTTCCATTATTGTGCTAATATGCTGCACCTATTGGTTGGACAGGACTTGCTCTTTTCTTATAATATCGCAGTCGATAGGTCTGATGAGATGAAAAAAGTTTTGAGAAAATCTGCTGCCAGCGTGGGACTCCAACTTCCTGAAGCTTACCAGCCATGACAGCTAGTAAGCACCTCAATCAACTTACTGCACTTCATTACTATACCATGAGAAAATGAGTTGTCATTCTCAGTTTCTCATCACCAATATTATCGAAACTGCGGTTAGGTTCGTGCACAGAACTGGTGCAACATGGTCAATAACTGGTGAAGAATCCCGGAACCCACCAGAGATATTCTAATATCCTGTTAAGCTATTATATTAAGAGAACTACGTTTAATTTGGGAAATTCTCTGATGGGCATGTTGGTTTGGATATTAATAATTTTTATTCCCTCCATATTCAAATAGTTTCTCCAGGCCTCCCAATATTGTTTTTACAGTTTTTAGTAGGTTCATTACTTTTCTTTTTTATCCGTTTCTAAATTTTTCACTCACTTCGTTTGATGAAAACAATGTGTTTGATATTGTTTCTCTCTTATAGATAAATCTCACCGCTCTGTTTTCATTTTCTTAAATGATGTGTTCAGTCGAAGTGGGCAGTAATATCAGGGGGGAGAATATTTATTTATTAGCTTGTTTGACTGTTCTATTTATTTTCTTCTTTTATTTGAGTAACTGTTTAATTGTATCAATATGATGATGCGCTCACTAAGTGAAAATGACACATTAAAATTGCATTTCTAGATGCAATATTAATTTGTAATATTGAACTACATTATTAGAAAGCTCTCTTTATCATTAAAGGATTAAAAAGATCACGTTTAGGTAATGTACAATGGTAACTTATCATTTTCACTAAACTCAATCAAGGTACAAGCTTTAAAGGAATTTTGCCCATAAAATGATAGATGGCTTTAAAACCAGATTTTTTGGGTGATAAAAAGAGTTGGAAGTTGAAAAGGGAGTTTTAGAAAGCTCTCTTTATCATAAAAGGATTAAAAGGGTCACGTTAAGGTAATGTACAATGGTAACTTATCATTTTCAGTAAACTCAATCAAGGTACAAGCTTTAGAGGAATTTTGCCCAAAAAATGATACTCCGTATATGGCTTTAAAACCAGACTTTTTGGGGGGATAAAAAGAGTTGGAAGTTGAAAAGGAAGTTTTGTTTCTGGGAATTAATTTCCAACCAGTTGACACATCTGACCTTCCGCAAACCATTAAACCATAACCAGGACCTCGGACCCTCACCGCTGATAATGGCTAGGCCGGTTCTGATAACCTTGCTCATCTCTCTTCCCCAATGTTTTTCAAAATATGCTTCAGTCAATTCTTCAAATTTCTTTCATCTAAGGGATTGTTGTTTTAACATTTTCTCTCCCTGGGGTTGATTTAGTGTTTTAGATTCTAGAGAAGAAATATGGACTGACATGCTTAAAATGGTGAAAGCAGCCACTCAAAAACTGGACGAGGCATTCATCAGCTTTTGCAGAATTTCAGAGGCCATCTTCTTACTTTAAGGGGGTGTATTCAATATGGATTGTTGTGGACTTTTTTTAATCCATGGACTTTTAAAAAAGTCAATGGACTTTTAAATCCATAGACTTTTTTATGAATGAATTCTATGGACTTTTAAATCCATGGATAAGTTATTGACTTTCAAAAAGTCCATAGACTTTTAAATGCGGACCGCCACTGCTGGTCGTCAAAATTTTCACCTAGATTGTCGCTACCGATATGCCTGTGACCTGTCCGCATCCATCACCGGAGTTCCCCGCTGTCGTCATCGGACTGACGCATCACCAACAAAATGGCTTTGGTTGTGAAAGGGAACTAGGGACAATTAATTATATTAATTAATTAATTAAATTAGGGATGAATATGTAATATTTATTCCCATTTAAGAAAAACCAAACATTTAATCATACTTTAAGAATAATGCTATGTTTTAGTCCTACCGTGAGTGATTTCCTCTATATAATACGGAGTACGATAAGAAATAAATAAGTAAGTAAATAAATAAATAAATAAATAAATAAATAAATAAATAAATAAATAAATAAATAAATAAATAAATAAATAAATAAATAAATAAATAAATAAATAAATAAATAAATAAATAAATAAATAAATAAATAAATAAATAAATAAATAAATAAATAAATAAATAAATAAATAAATGAAAAAAATGTAATTCATATAGCAACACAAAGTTCTACAAAAATAAATGAAGCATAAGAATTCAAATTTATTTTTATTAAAAAAAACTCAAAGTTTCAAGAATGCTCGAGAATTTTGGCCATTTTATTAATGATTAAGAACATTAATCGTTACACAAGCGTTACACTCATTGCTACATGTGGTACAAGCATAAATGCAATCGAGCTTTTCTACTTAGTGATTGTATTCTTTTAACTTCTATCTTGTAAAAACTTGTATATGTATTTATGGTTATATATTTATTAATTTGAAATTATATTTTTATGTGTTAAGCGATTTAACGATGAAAGAAAGTGATAGTTAAAATATTTATTTTCTTAATGGTTAACTGATGACGTATCAGAATTGCATTGATGTAATACTATCGATTCTTATATCGGTTCTTCTATAAACTTCTAGAATCGAATCAATATAGGATTACTGAATCGAGGGGGGTGACTGGGGACGGCAAGCTAAAGAAGAAGAAGAAGAATGGAAGGAGAGGGGTGGGCGAGCTGGGTTAAAGAAGAAAAAGAAGAAAGATTGAAGAGGAAGGTGTGGTTTGGCTAAAGAAGAGTAGAGTTGGGGGAGGGGGGGAGTAGGCTTGGCCCGAGGCCGGTCTGACTGGCCCGAGACCCGGCCCAGCCCGCCACTGTGCGGGTCCAACCCGGCCCGTTTGATCGGTACCGGTACCGGGCCTAGGCCCGACCCGGGGGATTAATTGGGGCGGTTCTGGAACTGCATATTTGAGGACCAGCCCGGCCGGTTCGGGCCCGGTCCGGGCCTTATTTGTTTTCTTTTTTCTTTTTTTTTTGGGGGGGGGGGACGGTTGGCCTTATGGTAGGTAGGCTGGGTGTTTTGGAGGGGTTTGGGGGGTGAGGGTTGGAATATATAAGAAAACCGAAAAAAATGAACCAGCCCGACCCAACCTGGAACTGGCCCGGCCCGGCCCGGCCCGATACCAGTAGACTCCCAGGCTGGTCCCGGGCCTTACCCAAAAAATTCCAAGCCCGGCCGGGCCCGACTCGGAACAGAAACGGGGTCTGGCCCGGTCCATCCCTAGGAGGGAGGGGAGGAATGGGGTGGGACAGGATGAAGAACCGATATAAGAAAAGTCCACGGAAATCTTTGGTGAGGAGAAGAGACAATTGCAGAGAATTTTTGCACTAAAAATGAGTTAAAAGTCCACGAGAATCCATGATTTTAGAAGTCAATAAGAATGAACGGAAATTTGAATACGCCTAGACTTTTATAAACTTTTAAAAGTCCGCATTGAATACACCTAGACTTTTGTGGACTTTTAAAGTCCACATTGAATACACCTAAACTTTTAAAATCCATGGACTTTTAAAATTTTGCCACTAAATCCTAATACAATACACCCCTTTAAGTCGAGAAAAACCATGTTGATTCCCCCCTTTGTTAAGATCATACTCCGTATTTCGATTAGCTAAGATAGAATATTTCGTCAGTAATACAATAAAATAAGATTGTAGCAAATGTAACAGTGTAACACTAATAACTGCATTTGGATTAATGTTGAATTAATGGTACATTATTGATGAATGAATCTACATCCACGCCATATAATAAAGCAAGTCCTTTTCTACGCTACCAATACATAAATTGCATATATAATGCCCGGTAGGTATCCCAGAAATGTTAATATCAAGTCTATCCAGAATTCCACCTGCAAAATTAGTACCAAATCTCTATAAGGAATTGCAAAAGAAAACATAAAACAATTCAAAATATTTAATTAGATAGAACTCTCATCCTCATGATTTCATTATGAGATTCAGCAAAAACACATTATTTGTCCATGTTAATATTTTTATAAATCAAGAATGCCTACAACATAAATTAATATATCGCCAAAAATCATCATCATCAATTCATTATTATTCTTATTTGTACTTTAAGAAGGAAATAGGGTTAGAGGAAGAACATACTCCACAACCAAAGCGAATGAAGACACCCACTGGAGGTAGAAAAATTGCAAGTATGACTTCAAGGAATGTTGATGAACCCATTATTCTATTCTCTCCCTCTCTCTAGAACACCTTCTATAGTTCTATTCAATAAGAAATTACTCAAAAAATGTAGTTTTTCTGCAAATTTTGTTTTACTATAACTAAGGGATTTGTTCTCCTTATATTTCTGAGAAAATTAGGGGGGCACACACATCTTATGAGTTAGCAAGTAGTTTCTCTGTAGAGCCATGGAATTTGACAAGTGGCAGTTGTACATGCAACGTTTGGGATTGGAAGATGATATGTTTTTGTGCCTTTTGACCAAGTCTTATTCTCAATAAAATCAGGAGTCTTTCAATGGCATACAATAATAACTATAGTTCATGTTTTGGAATATTATATTACGTCTAGGAATCATATATTTATATGAATTAAACAACATAACATAGTCTTATATATTATATATACTCCACATTTATTATAATCCCTTCATCCCAGCTTATACCCCTCACCTTTCCTTTCAACTAAACGTTCTCATTTCAATTTAAAAAATAATTAACATTCTTAGATGATACTATCAGTATTTAAATTAAAACAATAGAACTATAACAACTCTATATAGCTACACACTTAGTGAGTATTTACACCAAGTCCATTAATTAAGTTCAAAGTGGCCCTAAGTAGCCTAATGTTTCTTGGAAATGTTAAATGATATCACCCTGAAGAGAATGAACCCCGTAAGCTGGATTTTTTTAAAAGTAAATCGCCTATAACAATACAATAGAAATCAACAAAAGGATCGAATAAAATAAAGATAGTGAAAATGTCGATGTTGTAACTATGTTAAATTTTAGGCTACAGTAATCCCAAAGGTGTAGTTATAATAACAATAGACACGTTTTTATTCATTAGTTTCATTTAGTAATATTGCATAGAAGGTTGATTAGTAACTATTAGTGACTATAATTAGGGATTTTTCCTTATATATATATATATTACCAATAAAAAAGTCATGAACAAAGATATTAAGTATTACTTAAATTAATACTCCGTAACTATTAGGGACTATAATTGTATTCAAAGTTTATATCGCAATAACTTATACTCCGTATGTGATTACTACTACGATGTAAATTTGAACACCATTAGAGTCGCTAATAGCTACTAAGTAATGTTTTGTCCAATACATTTTAAAGGGTAATAATATTAATGAATTTTTTCCCCTAAGAGTTATACGTAGTAAATAAATCCGGACCGACCGTTATTTTTGTGATGGGTGGATCTGGGTAAATTGGCCCGAGAACTTCATTTATACGCCGCTTTCTAGTTTCTATGGTATCATCTAGGGGGTGGGAAATTCGATTTACGGTTCGGTTTGCTCCA